TGTTATTTCTAAGATCCTGACCAACCAGCCACGCCTCTTACCGTTTATATTCTCGTTTGGGGCCACTTCTTCCCCCCCCGACCAGATGTGTTGCCCAAAAGCACCTGTTGGGACCGTTTCCCCTCATCGCTGTCGTCTGGGGCCACCCTGGCTGCAGAGAAACAGCTATGCAATCGGGGCTCGAACCCACCTACCGAAACGACAGAACCAACCCGAGTTTGTCTCCTTCTCTCTAAACTGACCGTCAGGGAACCTTCACACACACGGAGGGGCAGCTTAGGGAGAGGTTCCGGTGTGATGTTCGTGGAAGCTGTGGGGCCCTGGGCCACCTGCTTGTCCCTCAGGCCCTACGTCGGCACAGTTCTGGGTGTGTCACAGCTCAGGACTTTGAAGGGCTGACAGAACCGCTCAAGCCAGGCAGCTCTGGCCGTGTTGTCACTTCATATCCCAAGGCCAGGGGCTCGGCTTCTCCCAGGAACCTTGTATAAAACTCCACTGTAGACGGTCTTGCTTTGTAATTCTGCTGCTGGAGCTCGGCGCACAGCAAGCAGCTCGTTTCCCCACCAATACCTTTAATGCCATCAGGCCTTCTAGTTCGGGTTGCCCACGTGGCTGTGAGCCCACTTGCCCCGCTGGTTGCACCTGCTCCAGAACCTGCTCAGAGCTGGCACACTAACGTGTCGCTCAGTCAGTAGGTTGAGAATATTCCTAAGTCCGGAATATGCTGCTTCAGAATCCAAAGAGGCCTCCTGGTCATTGTGCTCCACTAAGAAGAGTGGCAAGAGGTGGGAGGCACAGTATTCTGTCCTTTAATTTGGAGGGAATGCAGCAGCATGCCCCAGACCTCTGGATCCCTAAAAACTTCACTGATGGGGTCGGTCCACATCAATCTGCTCTAACAAACATTCCTTTGGACATGGCGGCCGCCATTATGTGGGGCTACAACTCTGCTGAGTCTGCGTGGTCTTCAGTGAGGTTTTTGTAGAGGCCAGAGGGGCAAATGAAATGGGGACGTTCAAGGAACCCCTACCCCTGAACCCTTCAGGTTTCTAAGGAAAGCATCAGTCAGGGCTGTTCCCACCTTGCCACAAGGTATTTACTCTGGTGGCTGGGAGGAGGCGACTTAGCATTTCCCACGGTGACGGCTCTTGCCTCAGGCCCCATGTTAGAACACTGCCAGCCTGCAAGTGTGTCCATTCCAATCGCATACTCAAAACATATGGATGGAACGCCTGGGCAAGTCGTGGGCCCCATGGACTCCCTGAGTCAGACCTGGACCAGGACTCTCTCTTGCCCCCAGCTCTAACAGAGGGACCATGCTGACACTTCCAATATCAGCATCAAGCTGAATCCTGTGTCCAGAGTTCTTCAAAGTGTGTGTCCCCCGTGTATGGCTCTTTGAGTAAATGACCCTGGGTCCCTCTTGGCAGTCATTACCATGGTTTTACAGGGTCTCTCCTCCCCCTGATTTCTTTTAGTCGTTGGGGTTCCAGGTCCAGAAACTGAACAAAGAGATGGTGACTTTTTATTGAGGTGGCTGCCATTGATCATTGCTTGTAGAAGTATCCACCATTGATTTGCTTGTAGAAACCGAGCGATACTTGTTGACTGTTCACCATTCCTGGGAAGGCTGTGTTCTATTAACCACCTCTATAGTTCTGTGGCGATCAAACCACCCAGCTGCCGCTCAGATTTTGCTGCTCACTATGGTAATTTTATCCACCTGTTTCTGAGCATGGCACATACCTAGCTGACCTCTTATTTGATTACCTATTCTGCTTGCTGCTCTGTGAGGCCAATTCCAATCATTGCATCTCGCGCTGTCAGCCCTGGCCTCCAGAGGACAGCCACCCCTGAGCTTCCCAATGATGCTGGAACCCTTTTGTACAGTACTTACTTTGTGCCTTTGGTAAAGTGAGTATCCTTCAGGCTCACCCACAGAGCATACTCCACTGGTGAGTTTTCTGCCTTTATACAGTATATCCAGTCTAGAATGCCCATGTCTCTAATCCTTTTGTTCCCTTCTTCCATCTGTTTTAGAATTTCTACTTTATTTAATATGGGCCATCCCTTACTCCCAACTTCCCAGAGCCATCATGGGAGCAGGCAAAGATGACTTCTAGGTTTGAGGCTCAAGCAGCCGAAAGGATGGGGCTGCCATTAAAAGAAATGGGAAAGACAAATGGTGGAACACGTTTGAAGGAGTTGATTAGAGTTCAATCTTGGACATGTCACACGTAAATGGCTATTAGTTAAATGGAGATGCCAAGTAGGCAGCTAATGTATTAGTCTGGAGTCCAGGGGACAGATCTGGATCGTAGAAACAGACGAATGTTGGGCACCTGGGTGGCTCAGTCGTTAAGTGGCTGCCTTCGGCTCAGGTCATGATCCCAGGGTCCTGGGATCGAGTCCCACATCGGGCTCCCTGCTC